ATCCCGTGCTCATACCCATGGATGACCTAATGCCACCCACACCGCCCATGTCGCAGTGTGCCCCGGAGGATGCCCATCAGCATTACGATGCGGTGGAGGTTAATTCGCAGTCGCTGTCAGCGACCCACAGGCCAGTGCCGCCAATTCCAAGTGCCAGCATCAGCACACCGCTGCCCGTGCACGTGACTGCACCGGAGGAGGAGAAGCTTCCGCCGCTGCCACCCAAGAGGATACGCAAACAGGACAGCAATGCGGAGAATCGTTCCATCGAGGCCAACACGGTCCAGGCGGACGCGCTGCCGCCAACGAAGCGCCTGCCGCCAGCGCCAACGCCCAAGAATCCCAACTTTAATACCCTGCCACGTCAGAAGAAGCCAGGATTCTTCTCGAAGCTCTTCTCGCGGCGCAAGAGCAAGCCCGATCTGGCCCAGACCCCTGCCGACAGCTGCTCCCATTTGGAATCGAAGACCAACAGCCGGGAGCCCAGCATTGGGCACTTTAACATGCAGGATCCCATGAGAGCCTCCCTGAGATCCTCGAAGAGTGCGGCACCCGCGCAGACACCCAGCAAGTCGAGTCCGATCAAGTCGGGCGGAGCCAAGAAGCCGCTGAAGCTGGGCAAACCCGTGGGCAGAAGTGTCAGCAGTGTGTCGGGCAAGCGGCCGGCGTATCTCAATGCCGATGTGGTGCACATACCCCTGAAGGGTGACAGCGCCAACAGTCTGCCCCACCACTCGCCCATGGAGGCGTACTCGCAGTCCAGCACCATTACGGTGGGTGGGGCACTGGACAGACGTACTGCATCGGCGCTGCAGCTGGCTGAGATCCCCATACTCGAGGGCGGCATGGAGCTGGTGGCCATTGCCGATCGTCAGAGCCTGCACAATCTGGTGAGCTCCATCGAGGGGCACTTCAATGTGCAGCTGGATCCGAATCTCGACCTGACAGAGGCGGAACACTTTGCGCTGTACACGAGTGTGCCTCCGCTGGCGGCGGCCAGTGAGTTCGATGAGACCTCCGCCTACTATGCACCCGTCGATGCTGGGGAGATACTCACCCCGGAGCAGGTGGCCAAGCGACTGGCGGCAGCAAATGGCCTGATCTAGGAGGAGCCCAGGGAGAATTTGCTATATTTTTTTTAAGGAATACGAAGGAAAGGAAATCCAACGAATAATTCAACGAAGGGGCAAGGAAAGACCCCCCAAGGAGTTGCATATTTTTCCAGGAAATAAAACCCAAGGAAAAGAGGTGGAAATCTGTCACCTCTTCATGGGTATAGAATCATAAATTGTCCATTTGTCGGAGGGCCGGCGACTGAAAGTATCTTTCGGCGCGAAGGCTCTCCATTTTGTATTTGTTTTAGAATTGATAATTGTGCTAAAAGTATACCCAACTGCGGATAATACTCGTATTTTGTAAGAGCCCAGGAGCAAAACATTTATGATGTGCTGTGCCGGGAGCGAAACGATTTGTAATTGTCCAGGTCCCCCAGAGGAGACCTCAACTGAATTTTGTATTTAAGCGAAATCTCTCTAAGGATTTCCCAGGAATATCTCCTATCGATTAACGATTAACGAAGAATATGTCCTGTAGCCTGTCTATGTTTTGTTTTTGTAGATCCAGCACACCTGAGGCGGAAGCGTCAGAAGACTGGCGGCGATCCCATGCACCTGCTGCTGCAGCAACAGCAAAAACAGCAATTACAAAACGATCAGCAGGATGGCAGTAAGTTGCAAGCAGATTGTGTATTTCTGGTGCTGGCTTTTGTCTACTTTACTCTTTGTATGGTGCTGGGTTTACGTGCCTCTTACTTTTGCTGTCTCTGCCCTTTTCGGGTATGTGTTGGCATCTAATCTTGTCTTGAGATGCTCAAACAGCACCAACTGATCCTACCTAATCGAATATGCGATATTTGATACTTGTTTTTCGGCATACCAAAGACTTAACTTAACCACTCATCTGCCTTGATGATGTATTACTCGAATAGACTATTAGAAATGATTAGCAAGCACTCAATGCACACACACAAACACTACATAAATGAGAGTTACCTACTATATATTTGATATATTGATCTAGTCGAAAGTTATAGCATTACTATTGATACAGAAATTGATTTGAAATCAACTAAAACACAACAACTTTTGTCGCTTTTCTACTCGTTTACTCGTAATTGCGAAAGATATTTGATATTTTTATATTCATGAAATGGAAACGTTTGAAACAAAATCATAGAAATATTTTTTGTATAAAATATTGTAGTTTAATAAAAACAGAAAACAAAAGCCATATATTGTTGAAACGAATGCGAATAGTTTGAAAAGGTTCTAAAGTGAAAGTAAGTTTTGCTCAGGGCTTGCCGGGTTTTTCAAGGAAGTTTCGTTTTTCCTCTGAGTAAGTTTTTAATCGCAGTTTCCTCCAAGTGCTCTTAAAAATGCAGTTTCATTTGTTTGAGTTTGATTTTTTGTGTATTTCTTGCATGATAGATATTTTGTTTGTTTTGGTTTTTATATATATTTTTTTTAAGATTTTTTTCTATCAGCTTTAAAGGCAACAACTTATTTTAAGTTGGTTTTATTTTAGCAATTTAATATTCATACCTTTCGATAACTTTGTTCCCCTTTTATAAGATTTCTCTCTTGCTGGAAGTTTATTTTGGAACTGCTTGCAGTTTGAATAATTAACCTCGTACAGACCTTTACTTAATACATATTTTTAGACCCTTTGGCCACGTTTTGTCCTGCTGTTGTCTTAGGACAAAGAGCATCGGCCAGAGAATTGAATTTTCACCAATTTGAATATACGAACAGGCTGTAAAAGCTGTCTGCTTTAGTTGACTTGTTGCACCTTTTAAACCTTTACAAGGTACAATTAATTGCACGATTTTTGGTTCAATATGGAACAAAATATATTTTTTAGAGTCTGGCATGGCAAAATAGTTTATTAACAAATTATTAACAATTTTTGAGGCTGTCGTTTTGTGAGCTATTGCTTTTCTTCCATGTTTCCTTTCTGACTAACTCAATTTAACTTCCCTATTAATTTGTTTTGTTGGCTGTCTTACTTTGCTTTAATTTGTATTTGTTTTATAATTTTTGTAATGCTTTTATTTATTGCTTTGCTTGGCTCTTTAGGACAAAACAACATGAACTGTTGGAATGCACAGAACATACCGCCCATCAAAACAGAACCGAGAGGTGAGTGGTGGCAATCTGCTTGCTGCTTGCTTATCCATTTATAATAAATGCCATCTGCAGATACCTCACCGCAGCCGTTTGGCTTGTATCGGGCAGCGCCAGAGTTGACGCCTTCGCCGCAGCCGTTGTCGCCTTCGAGCAATTACAACCACAACAGCACGCCCTCGCCTTACAATCTAGCTGCCACGCCCACCAATGGACAGCAGCAGATGATGTCGCCCAACCACCCACAGCAGCAGCAACAGCAGCCGCAGCAGCCGCAGCAGCAGCAGCAATATGGTGCCACAGAGTTGGGCAACAACTACAATCCCTTTACGCAGCAGGTTCTGGCACAGCAGCAACATCAACAACAACATCAACAACAGCAGCAGCAGCAACACCAACAACAACAGCAACAGCAACAACAGGCGATGCAATTCCATGGCAATCCCTTTGGCAACACTGGCAGCAGCCATTGGGAGAGCAAATTCTCGGCAGCGGCTGTGGCAGCAGCAGCAGCAGCGGCGGCAGCAGTTGCAGCACCCGCCAGCAACACCAACAACACCAGCAACACCAACAACACCAACAACAACAACAGCAACAATCTTAGCAATCTCAACAATCCCTTCACGATGCACAACCTGCTGACATCGGGGGGCGGTGGCGGCAACGGCGGAACAGGCCCAGGCGGCAATCTGCAATGGAATTTGAGCACAAATCATCTGGTGAGACGAACTTTATTTAATTTTAATTTATTTTTTAATCATTTTTGTCTATAGCACAATCAGCACACGCTCCACCAGCAGCAGCAATTGCAACAGCAACATGCACCGTCCATGCATCAGTATGATAACAACGGTTCCAACAACCCCAACAACAACACCAACAACAACAGCAACAACACCAACAACAACAACACAAATGCGAGCAACCAACCTGATAATGGTCCAACGATCAGCAATCTGCTCAGCTTCGACAGCGAGCAGCTGGTTCGCATTAACTCAGAGGATCAGCAGATACTGCGCCTCAATTCGGAAGATCTGCAAATATCCAACCTATCGATATCTACGTAATACCTTAAAGAACCAAGAAAGAAGCAAACAAAACATATAAGTAATGAAACGCAGATTGATTGTTTTAGTGTTTTTGTTTAGTAATTAATGTAAATGTAAATGCAAAGCGTAAAATGTGTGTGTTTTTGTAGGTTAATGTGTTTTAAATATGAATAAATTAATCGTTTTAGTCGTAACATGAAAAGCAGTTAAAGCAGGCTTTAACATTATTGAAGGGCAAGAGAGAAATTTGTCTCTCTCTCACACAGAGTGGCTTAGCACTTAGGGGTGAGTTTTTAGGTCTGCTTAAGGTATCCATCATTTGATCAGTCATCCTTCAAAGGAATCATTAAAAGTGAGTGAAATAAACCCCAATTCAGATGGTTTCAATTCCAAAATTAATTCTATTTGCCATTTACTACAGTCTGGGCAGCTACAATTGTTATTCAAATGTGCAATGAACCTTAGCATGTGCAATCTAATTCCATCTATGAGCTTTTCAATTCTAGTTCTAGCTAATTACTTCAAAATCATCTATCGCACATAATTATGAGGCTAATGTTGTTTTAATGGCTAGCTTTTCACTTTGTTTTATGCGTTGCGCTGGGCAACATTTACATCAGTTACCGAAACACCAGCAGCAGAAACAGAAATGAATTTAAAGTGTGTGCGGATGATGTGTTCAATTATTTTACTATTACTATTCGTCATTAATGCGGTAAGAAAATCGTAAGCTGTGAGAGTGAAGGCAGCGATTAACACTGGGAGAATTATGTACTCAAAGGTCGTCTGCAAACTGGAGTTTACAAATGTCAAATGCAATATGCTGGATAGAAAATTCGGCAACTTTGAACAGTGCTATCTGAAGGCGCAGAATCGCACCTATAAATATATTTCAATCAAAGCTCTTCTATATCAGAAACCAGTTACCCAATTTAAGGTACGCAAATTAATTGAAAAAAAAAAACCCCTACAGAACCCTACAGAAAGTTGTGCTCTCAACCATTCATTTAAGGTAAATTTTGCATTGTATAAACGCTCCAATGGGCTACAACCGATCAGCATTAACACGACCATAGACGGCTGTAAGTTATTACACAAGAACGGGAATACCTTGGCTTTGTTTCTCTTTGGCCTGTTCAAGACGTACTCGAACATCAACCATTCGTGTCCATTCGATGCAAGTATCCAAAGCAACAGGATTATTGATGGTCCATCACTCATTTGTTTTTTGTACACTCTGCAGCATGATGTGAGAGTGGAAAAGCTGCCCACCACATTCGTGATGAATCACATGACAATGTTCTTGCCCTTTCCCGCCGGTGATTATGTCTTTAACACCAATTGGATTGCCAATGGCGCACATCGGGCTAGTGTCAGGGTGCATGCAACTCTAGACTAATCTCATTATTGTAGAGTAATTGGTTACATTTATTTGTGCAAACAAAATATAGTAATTTAAACAGCAAACTACAACCAAAACAAACGCAACTAAATAAATATTAATATTATTTGGATGACTCCTTATTTTCCTCCGATTCATTTAGGAATTCCTTCAGTGATTTTTCATCCTTAGGATCTACCTTCTCCTCTGCAGACAGCTTTGAGAAGAAGCGTTCCTTGATCATTCTGACTGCCTGTGGAATGGATGGCGGCGGTGCATGGCCGGGTAGCACATAGTCGGCCACAAAGTGTAGCACGCGGAAGGTGGCCTGCTGGTAGACCTCTCTTTGGATGAGGCACTGGCGTATACGCTGCCCCATGGTGGCAGCCAGGCAGCTCTGAAGCAAATCCACCTGGTCCTTCATCTGCTGAGCACAGAGCTCCAGTTGGTTGGCGTGCTCCAGCAGTTTGCTGCGGGAACAGCAAAAGATTTAAAGACAAATCTCATGAATTCATTTCATTGCTTACTTGTACTTCTCCTCGGATGCGGCTTGAAGCTTTTTTGTGTTATCCATTTCCTTGTATATTTCTTCGATGACCTTCATTGTGCGGACTGTCTCGATCTTAGCCAGCTCCAAGCTGGCAGCCTGCTCCCGCTGGATGTCCAAACTCTTTTGAAGGTTGCGATGTAGCTGTGCAATTTGTAGCATTTGCACTTCCTTGTCGGCATTGGCATAAAAGAGATCGCCGTTCAAGGTGTCCTGCACCTCTTTAAGGATCTTAATCTCTTTATTCTTTTCTTTCAGCTCGTCGCACAGTTGCTGCTTCTCGCTTTTGATCTTCTCCAGCTGCAGGTGCAGCTCCTCGTAGGAGAGCTTGGTATCTGCAGCCTCGCGATATGATTGCCGCAGCTGATCAGAGAGAGTGCCATTGCGACGCTGCTCCACGGAGAACAGAGAGGTGTAGAGGTGGAGCTGGTTGCGGGTTTTCAGTAGCTGGGGGCGCAGGAATTTATATTACTTGGAAGCTGCTGTCAAAATTCGCAACGCTACTCACAATCTTCTTTTGATCCTCCAATTGCTGTGTGATTTGACGTACGCTCTCGCGACGCTTGCGCCAGGCGTGCAGCATAATTGTGTTGAAAATCTTCAGGCTGGCCACGCGTGCATCCTGATCGCTGCTGACCACAAAGCTCACACGTCCCTTGGGTACGTCAGACATCTGTGCGGCATCCTGCAACAGCAACTTGGACATGCTCGCATCCAGGCCAGCGGCAGCCACTGTCTGGTTGTCCTTGCTGCCCGCGGAGGGCACATGGGCCACCAGCTGATACTGGCCTGTGCGACGGGCCTCCTTGATGTCCATTTGGGAGACGGACTTGCGTGCCCGATAGTTGATCATGGCTGCCGTCTGCTGGCGCTTCAGCGTTAGAATGGGAGCCACTGGTTTGGGCTCCTTGAGCAGACTCATGACCTTGGGCATGACCGTGCAGCTGCGCTGTCCGCGGCGGGCAACAGTGCTGGTCAGCGAGGTGTCTGACGATGACGGTGTCAGCAGTCCAGCAGGTGGGTGCTTGGCAGGCAGCTGCTCGTTTTTCTTTTTGTCAAAGGGGCTAAAGAACAATTTATTATTATACTTATTATTAATATTTATTATGGATTGTTCTTACCCATTGTTCTTATTTTGGTTGCTGCGCGGCGCGAAGCTGCGACGCTTTTGCGATGTGCCCGGAATCAGGGACTTGGTGTATGGAGCCCGAGCACGTGGCGATTGGTTGGTCAGGCCAGTCAATTGCGTTTGACGCATGCGTGGACTTTTGGGCTTCATATTAATTAATTAATCAATTCTTTTAACTCAAAATGGATCAGAAATGTTAAAAATTTTATTTTATTTTTGTTTATTTTTTTCCAAGAGAGAGGTTTACACGTGAACACCACAGAAAGGAATGACTTATTCATCTGAGATTTCAGCTAGGAACTGATTAAACAGTGTTGACAGAAAGTCAGGGCCTACTGAGTTGCTTACAATTAATTTTGAAACGATTTTGACATCAAAATTGCGAATCTCGTTCTTTCGCTTGTAAAAAAATATTCAAAAACTCGTCGTGATAGTTTTAAATATGTATATTTGAAATATTCTCTTACTTTTTATTGGTAACCCATGCAAGAAAACGAAAATGTATTTTAAATTAAAACAAAAAAATGATTTCTGCATCGGCCGGGAATCGAACCCGGGCCGCCCGCGTGGCAGGCGAGCATTCTACCACTGAACCACCGATGCTGTGTTATTTGCGGTAATTAAATATTTAAATTTAAATATGAAATTTCAGTTTTTGGCTATTGTTAATTATCTCTCGTCTATTCATAAAGTGTTGTTCTTTTAGGGAACAAAATTCCCAGACTGGTTCTTGTAATTTATAGGAAAAGTACTTCGAGACTTCAGGCTCATTGATTAAAATCAATTTTGTCTGGAATCCCCTCAATTGACACATGACAAATTTGGATCTGCAAAATGAAAGAACATTAAGTTCAAAGCAACAGTCACATCCTGAGGACAACAGCACCCTAACACATTCCCACACTCCCACGCAGACCCCACATCCGGTTGAGTTCTCACACATAGTAACTCGATTCGGTTGCGGCATCCGTTTGCTATGATTTTGTGATACCCTTAGAAGGTGGCTAAGCACCAAGTTGTCCTATACGAAGAAAGAAATATTCCAGAAATATGTAATTTCTATAAGTTCATGTTATATTATGTTATAAATAATTCAGTCATGGGGATAATTATGTTTTGACAAGCCATAGATCAAGAATTCAATAGCTAGCAAGAGCATATACATTTCGGCAACTTTCCTGCCATTGCCATCCATTTTGCCAGGGGCCGAAACTCAGACATGGGACCCAGTACCCAGTTTCCGCTAGATTGGGCGCCAACTTGCTGTTCGAATCAGCCGAACCCAACTGAGGTGGAAAACTTTCAAACTCACCACAGCAGAGGCAGCGTACGCACCGTTTGAGTGTGCGCAGGCAGGCGAAAGCTTTCTTTCGAATTGCCGCTGCTCCACGCCTCTGGTCCCCCTGCCTGTCTGAGTGGCGGCCCTAGGACAACTTTTGTGTCTGTGGTTGGGGTGCAAGCGGCACTCCGTGTGGGAGCCAAGGCGGTGTCGGCTTCATTAACGGTTCGACGCTGCTGGCAAACGGTTCTTTCCTCTCCTTGGCCAACAGGGCGCTGCGAAAGCTACAAAAAGGACGCGAACGAAAGAGTAACGTAAATTGAAATTTAAATTTGATTCGATTGCGAACAAATGCTAATAAAACAATAAATGAAACATATAAATTACCGAAAATAATTGTGCTGGAAATCAGATTATTCAAAAAGTGTTTATCTGTGCGTGTACAATTACGAAAATTCGAAACGAACGTAAAATTTATATTGAAAATACATTGAATTATTGCCTTTAGCTGGAATTTCTGATTTAGGTGAGTTCTGGATATTGTCTATAAATAATCTATGGCCGCTGCGTGATTACAAAATACCAAAATTGTTTATAAATAATAGGCCATTAAGGGAAACGCGTCCAAAACCAATGAACATCAATGGCATCGGTTTCTCCCAGCAGACCAATTAAGTCAATTATATTGGGATCTTACTCAGATTCCCCCCGACGAGATACCAGTTCCGATCTTAATACTCAGACGCTTACGTCTGCGGGAAAAAGTAATCAAACTTAATCATTATTCGATTCTTCGACAAAAGCAGCGTCATAGTACATGATGTATGCATATGTATCTCTCCTTTCTCCCTCGTGACCAGTTCTGGTTCTGCGGTTTAATGTAAAGTATGTGAATTGATGGGAGCAGCGATTATAAAGCCGGGCGAATGATAGTTCTGATGTGTTAACTGGAAACAAGTTGATTGAGTGCGAAATTCGTAACGTTACAAAAATGCTTAGACAAATTTGTGCACAATTATTCTTTGAAATTGAATGGATTTCCTGGTAGTAGAAATATGGTAATAGAGGTTAAGAATTTTAATTGTTTAAATCTAGTGTTGAAATCATTTGAACTGTGACAGCATTGATCTAAAAATATTTCAAGTGTTAACCCTTTGGATCTTGGGTTTAAGGGGAAACTTTAATTTCCGTCTCACACTACACAATGCACATGCATTCCGCATTTCCACTAGATACTAGCTATCTTCATGTTATATTTATAAACAATCTTGTGCACCATCAAATGGTGGAGATAATTGTTAAATATCCCTGATGGTTGAAGAATTAGATAATTGTATGTTCCTATAAAGAACCAAACCTGTTAGTTCTTGGATTACTAAATGCGAATATCTCATATGAGTAGCATTAGTTTGTGAAATTTAGTATCCTTACCATAAGAAATCGAATTAAAATGCGCACAGCGAAAACGCTTTAAGAGAATCAATTGAAATGGGGACTGCTGGGAAAAACAATTAACTAAATAGATTCCAACTCCTTAGAAAGCTGACCTTTTGTCAGTTGTGCCACAGTCTTCAACCGTAGACAAATGCAGTGAACACTCTTTAAAAGTGCCTTCCGCAATAATACTAAAATAATAAGTAGTCTCCACCTTTAGCATATTATAACATGGCGGCTGTCCGCCTAGCACGGGTGTTCACTGTCTTGGCAAAAACAAAACAATAAAACTTTGCAATTGCAGTGGTCGATTCATTTCCAGTTCCAGTTTCAGTGAGAAATGGCAATAAGTTCTAATCCGACCCAACCCATTGTCTGGCACGCTCCTGTGCCTTACCCCTTCCGCTTGGCCACAGCCCCAACGATATCGCTGTGCTTCACAAATCGCTGGCACATTAATTAATTAACAGTTGTTTGTGCTGACTGTTGCTATTATTGCTGCTGTTGTTGTTCCTGTCGTTGGGGCTGTTGTTGTTGTTATTATTGCTGTTGATTTTCTATAAGCAAAAACCACACATAAAAACTGTTAAGTCTATCGCTTTTGCTGCTCTCCCTCTTGCTCTCGAAGTTACCTGAAGTTGTGAAATGACAAAGTCAAAGTCCCAAAGTCTTTGGCTCAGACAACCTTGATATGGTCACCAGCCAAGTCAAATTAACGAAAACAAGAAAGAAAGATGAACTTCTGGGTTCGAATCTGTAGATACTCTAGCAGATTTGGCTGACAATTTACTTTGGAAGCTTATTCCAGCATAGCAGGTACAACTAACTACTTTTTGATCTGTGTTTTAGCGAAATCGCTATACCCTCCGAAAGAGTACAGCAACAACAGCTTAACATTGCATGCGGAACTCGAACGCAGATTCGAACTCGAACTCGAAATGAGCACCAACTTCGCAACTGCATTTACCAATTATGCAATGTAAAGAGACTGGAAACTGGAATGGCAAGGCAACCACCGACACACATGTACACACACTTAAATGCATATGAACACATACATAACACTTCCGAAACTTGAACAACACTCTCACTTGCTCTCACGCACACTTGTTGGCCGATGCTGCTGCTTTAACTGATCATTCGTATGGGGAGAGGGAGAGTGAAACAATTGAGTAAATTGATGCTAGCAAGTGCCTCTGCATCTGCCTTTACCTGCACCACCATGGGATGATTCATGCTCGTTTTCGGGGAATCCAAAGCCAATCAAGTGTGCCCCAAAGAAGGCAGACGGACAGGTTTTCTGTTTTACCTTTTCGTTTATTTGTTAGTATGCCAAGCTAAAGTTGGGCTAATCCACGAATCAGTTACTATAGTCGTGGCTCAAGGAAGCGCACAAACAAAAGTTATGTGATGGAAGGCGGCACTGACTGCTCTTCTATAAGCTTTGCTGGTAATGTCTTGTTCATATGTTTGCTCTGGAAGTATTGAAATTTACGGTAAAGATGTAAGGAGATCATTGACCCTTTTGGCACCAAAAGCCACGAAATCAGTTCAACTGTGCGCACGAGCGCGAAAAAATCTTTATCAACATGAATGACAAATATTCCACAAAACAAACCACTTGCTTGATTGGCCGGCAGAGTAAACAAACAAACACATTTATCATAAGCTGAGCTTTGAGCTCTCCTTAGCATTTGCTGGTCACTTGTTCCATAAATTCTCGTACTACGTGCTCCGTTGAAAAGTAAAGCTAATTGCTCCCAAGAGATCAATTAAAATGCACTTATTTTGTTGTCGTTTCGTGCGCCGGCTTTAAGGAATGAGGAGGGCATAAAAACTTCGACGTGGTGTAGTTTTTTATTTTTGCCTATGCTTCTCTTTATCGTCGTGTCTCGCTGCTGGGCAAAACATCTAGAGTTCATTTGTAATTTTTCTCATCTTGTTATTGATATTCCCCCCTCTGACCATTGCCCGCTGCATGACTGATGTCTTGCATGTTAATGCTCTTAGTCTATCTCTCTCTCTCCCACCCTCTCCCTCTATGTATTTTTTCGTGGCGGACGACCTTTCGTTGTGGCTCCACTATGTCACGGAATGGTAACATTATAAACAGTGGCCTCAAAAGCGATAAAAGAAGAGGAGGAAGAGGAGCAATAAAAGCAACAACAAGTGGTTGCTCAACTCTGTCGCGTCGCGTCGCCACCCGTCTCCCTTCCCTTCATATCTCTTGTGTCTTTGTCACCATTCGCTTTGGTTCGGTTCGGGGCTTGGCTTTGTTTGTCTGCAGTCTCTCCCGCTCTCCACCGCTCACATGCGTCTGACCTTGAATCATACATGTGCCAGAATTGCAGGGGTACGGATTTTTTGCCCGCTTCGCTCTACTCCGCTGCTGCGGCGCTGCTCGGGTGCTGTTGATAGGAGCCTCAAAAGCAAGTTCAAAATAAAGAGAAGGCAAAGGTTGAACAAGAAATCGAACTGTTTCGACGTCACTGAATGGCTGCAGTGATCCAAATTAAAGTGACGTTGAAATGCTTGAATAAAATTTCGAGACATAAATGCAAACGCAATTTATGTTTGTTTTCCCAAAGTATGATTCATAAGTGCAGAGTCCATAAAGACGTTTAACGGATAAACATATCCGATTGTTTCACGTTCTTATTATATTACCATACACAGTCTAAACTCTTTCCATTCATAATTATAATTCCATATAAAATATATACATACATAGTTCTGTAGTTGCAGTTTCTTCCTCTGTTGATATTGTTGTAAAACCCATACGCGAATAAATAGCTTCTCTCACAGAATGCAGACTGTCGATCCAGACGCTACCCACGCCCCATTGAGATTTTGTTTTTAGTTTGGATATTTTGTTGCCCAAAACCAAACAACAGAAATATACTATACAAATGTGCATATAGTATGCACCGACAATAATGAAATATTTCTGCCCGATTTGCAATCTCAAACAGAAAATATTTTTCCACCGATGGATGTGTATTGCGTGCTCGTGTTTATTTCAATGACTAAAATCTGTTGATGGAACAGAAGCCAAAAATTGAGTTAATAACTCAGTCTCTGACCTTAGGCGATGTCGAGAGTTTTTGGTTTTTTTCTTCTTTCTGTTTCGTCTATTGCTAGTTGGGGAATTTGTCTGTTTAAATTAGCAGCGCTATATGGATTTTATAATTTACATTTGGCCGAGGGCCGAATCGGGCTGGTTACTCTTCAGGTATGTCAATTCTTGGGAAAATCAATACGAAATGGAGCTGTCAATAATTCATAAATGGAGCTTCTTTGTTGTACAAGGGGAGGGAAGAATTGTTGGTATGCATTTACTTATGAATATTTTACATGGTGCATTTCCCAGGCAAAGGAAATGAGAGTTTGGTGACCTTTTAGGCCATGTACTTAATGCCCGAATATCTTGCATGCTGGACCAATTGTCAAATCATAAAATAACATTTTTTTGAGTGCCCAGAATTTATATTGTGGGAAAATATGTAGAGTTGTGGGACTTTCCGTCTACTCTTTTGTTGGATTAGTCACTTAATTGGAAAAATAAATTACTACAGTATTTTATGGTATTTATAGTATCTGATTCAAATAATATCTGACATTCCAGCTCACAGTAGTTGTAGGTTTTTCACCCATGACCTGATCTCTTTCATCTTTTTCAGACATTTCGTTCCAAAAAAAATTTACTTTTTACTAGATGTGTTGTACTCTTTGTATCTTCAGGATCATAGATCATCTTTGAATTCTGAAAATGTGCTGAATAAAATTCTTCTCAGAGCAAAGAACATTTATTTATACCCAAAATCGAATTGTGGAACACCTGCAGCGTATTATAAAAATCTCAACAGTTTGCCATACCCACTTTAAATTCAATTATTTTTTTTGTTTTGCGTCTTGTTACGTCATTGAAAGTACAAAAAAGAAAAGAAAATAAACCGAAGAATACGCACAAAGAACAGCGATAAACAACAAAAGAAACAGCAAAACAAACAATCAAAGAAAAGCTTGCTTCAGGAGTCGAAATTGTTGATACTCTTGGAGATCCATCATTCAAAATGAACCAACAGAAAAGGGGAAATATTATTTTACATTTAATTGAAAATATTATAAAGATGTTCTATACATTTAAGTCAAGTGGAATAACTTCTTTTAGTGCGCAGCAAACAACTGATCACAATCGTAATACCCTCTACCAGGGCATAAAAGCGGTTGAAGTGGCGGAGAAAATTGAGGCAGCCAATCAATGAGAGAGCGAGCCGCCTGGCCGACTGGAAATGAAAACAAAAGTGTGCGCCACACCGCTTCGCTCCGCATGGAATTCCATACGATAGCAGCAGTAGTTTATCTCGTTCGCTCTCCGCCACCACTCCGAGAGCGCAACGCTCTAAGATCGAGCCGATGGCAAAGCCGGGGCCGACGTGTAGCCGATCTCAGCCGCAAGTCGATGTGCTGAGACCCGTAGACCGGGGATCGCTCAGTTTAACAGCAAACTTTTCGGTGGTCGGACGTGCTAGGCCGGCAGAAATCATTCGCTTTATAACGCTTAAGTTGTGCAAGTCACACGCGACCATTTACAGTGCATGTGTGTGTGCATGTGTGTGCCTCTCTATATGTTTGTTAATTATACGCGACACGACAACTACACGGATAAGTTAGCTCTAAGCGAGTGTGTGTGAATAAATCAATGTTCGCGGCGGGCTGCATTGCTAATACAGCAAATTAAAACCAAAACAACAAACAAAAGCACACTTGAAAGATTGCGTTGTAAATTTTTGTTGCGTTTTTCCTTCCAAGTCCGTAGCCCATATCTTTCATATACATATACAAATTTGGCGCGCAGTGAACCGAGTGATAAGAGCCGTCGGTCAAATATAATTAAAATTTGCATCAAATACACGTGTCACATCGCGGCAACAAAGAGATAATTCGCATTCAGATCAACGTCAAAACCAACCAAATAAATTAACACAATTCGAAGGCAATAACATTTGCGACAGGCAGGTGCAACAGCAGCATATAATCCATAAAAGGTTAGCAGGCAAATCCAATCCCAATCCATTTACTAAACAAAACAAAAATCTAAGGCGCAGTTTATAAAGCTACAAGCTACCCTCTCCATCACTCATAGTACAGACATTGAATAGTCGCCGCTCAGCGTCCCTTCCTGCTCTCCCTCCAGCAGCAATCATTGCAATGACACTGCAAGAAATCGGCTAAATAAATTATAATCCCAGATACATAAATAATAACACATGCTGTGCAGTGGCAATTAATTAACTGCCGCATGTAATGCAAATTATATTTATAATTGTGTAATAAAGAAGAAAAAACAACAGCGTGGAAGTGCATTGGGTGAAGCATTAGAAACTGAAATTCTAGAGTCTTTTATCTGTAATGGTTGCTCATTTCGCTGTTATCTGCTCCAACTCTTATCTACAAAGTGTGGCCCGTTTTTAAGTCGTTCGATTGACAGCAAATGTCTCTACACATTTGGCTTGAGAAATCAAAATAGAGAACAATTTGAAGCAGGAAATTCCACAACACTTTTGTGGCGCTGCCTGACGTCACTCTGCTCTGCTTTTGTAATGCAACTACAATAAAAGTGAGAGGCAGACACAGCACACCCAAAACTTGATACGACTTCCCCACTTGCACAGTTGCTCTTTGGCCTATGATTTGCTCATTGCATGTAACGAGAGTGAGGCAGGGAGAGCCGATCTCTCTATCTGTTAGCTGATTGTAAAAGCCATAATAATTCCTCTGAGGCAGCAGTCAGTCCAGGGCATTGCCAGATGGAAGAAATGTTTGACATGCGAAACGCAAATGAAAATTCATTGAGTCTGTACATCAGATGTCAAAGTGAGCTCTTAAATATGTCATTTCCATTTGAATAGGAGCAGACAACGAGCTACTCAAATAACTATTTATGAGAGATGAAAACAAAGCCAACAAAGAGCTAAAACAAGCTATAAATAGATAAATGTTGCTCCTTTTGGGTCTAAACTTCAGCTAAGACTTGCCTCTCCGTTGATTTATTCAGCTATTTTTTCAAGTGTAACCTCAGCTTTTGCAACTCAACTGATGCATATTACAATACACACAATATATGCACAATAAATCTCTAAAGAACGAAGGCGTCGAACTGCGATTTATTGTAATTATTATACATAGTTAGGAGCACTTACATGCGAATCTAGAGGTGGTTCCCTGCCTTACCGATTAGCAAAAATCATTTACATACTGGTTCTGGTTCGAATCCATATATATATATATATATATATATATGTTTTGTATATAACATATGCCGGAACAACTCCCCTGAGTAGACGTTTCCTCCAGTATGCATTAATTTTCATTTCAAATTATACAATTTTATTGCTGTTTGCTTATCGCCAGAGTCAAGTTTTCACACAATGCCTTGAAATGCGTCTTATGTACCAGTCATACTTATAAATATTGACTATATTATATGTATATAATGTCTAGTAATTCCAACGAAATTGATAAGGAGTAAAGAGAGCAAATCGTAACAGTCTAACAAATCTATAAATCTAGTTCCCAAATAAAGCTAATTCCAAGAAGAGAAGTTCACACTTCGCTCCTCTCTCTCTGTCTCCCTCTCTTTTTCTGTATCAATGGAAAAGTGTAATCAATTCTCACTTGACCGCAGGTCGACAAACATCGTCAAGATCTGTACAAAGAAAGAACTGAGCAAAAATACCGAAATGCTCACCCGAACTGCAAATATTTATACAAGAAATGTTGTAAATATTTTTACAAGTGAAGACCAGTTGGTCTTGGCCAGGTTTATAAAAATGCTGCCACACGGCGCGGCATCTGGAAGATTTCGTTTATTTCATTTGTAATCAAAGGAACTGGAACTGCATTCGCCAAAACGAACAGAAACCGAAATCCGATAAAGTCTTTAAGGCTTTTCCACACGCACACGGACAGGGTCTGGCCATGCCATAAAAATAGAATGAGATGGAACAGAACAGAACTGAACCCAGTCATGGTCAAAACTTACTTAAATATCGATTTATCTGCGCCTATGCCGCAGCAGATCCCGAAGCTTGTATTCATTGGGAATGAATACAAAAACTAGACGGCCAAAAGGCAGAGGCGGCAGCGGAATTGTTTTTGGTAATTGATGAAAGGAAAACCCAAACAAAACACACACTTTTCACACCTTCTGCTAGAGTGGGGGCTATGTAGGTACAAAAGGTATCATATACCCTTAGCCTGCAGTTATAACTTTGCCATTTATTGTTCGGATTGAAAGTTATTGGAAATGAAGTGCCAACAGCGGCAGGAAGGTCATAGAAGTGTTGTGGGTGGAACTAAGGGATAAACACTTGGTGGGTTGCCGTTTAGGGGTCAGAGTTTGCTTAAGTGGAAAATTAAAGGAAAATTATAAATGCCATTCTGGAAATTTGAAATTCCACAAAGGTAGAAAATTGCGCAACCAAAAATGGGTTAAGCAGCTCGCCAAAAGGAGGGATATACGAAGATTAATCCCAAAGCTCAGGGTTCGATATATTTACATATGTTTTATGTATATTTTAAACATTTCCTCCAATACCCTCTCCAATTTCCGTTCCGTGGAATATTTCCCAAGCAAATTTCCGTCTAGCCAAATTGTTTCACGATCTGTCTGTCATTCTCATATGCCGAACTCCCTGCCTTCAGAGCAGAACACGCATACGCCGCTTTGTTGTATGCTGAAAATGTTGAATTGATTGAATTGTGAAAAGTTGTATCGCAAAATAATGAAATGCTGCGGTTTCTACGATTTTTTGGGCATCGCGCGTGTCGAGTGTTTCTTTTTGGTTTTAATTTTTCGTGTGGTTTGCTGTGTGTCTTGGCCATTAGAATGGAAATTGTTCTAACGCTTCGCTGACTCTTGCTCTGCCCTGGCCTAGCCGGGTGTCTGGTGTGGTCTGGTCTGGTCTGGTCTGGTTTGGCATTCGGAGAATGCCTTTGCGTTACTCTCAGCATTATTTTCTGTTCAGTTCGCTTTGATTTTTGCTTGAAAAGACATGAAAATCGATTTGTTGTATAATTTAACTTTTGCCGCTCGCTCCGTTCTGTTCTTTTCGGTGCTGTTTTGTTGTGTACCTGGGCAATGTTTGTGCTGAATGAAGAAGCCAAATGTAACCGGAAAATGTGAGAGAATTAATTGCTTTTTAATTAGTTGCGCACATTAACAGTTTTCAGGTGGCACGGCATGCCAAACAAAATGCCAACAAAAGCAAACAAATGAAAACAAAATACGAAAAAACGGAAACACGAAAAATGCAAACCAACACAAACAACTTTTCATGATATTTTTTCATTTGTAAAAGCAAAAAACGGCAATTATATTCCCCTGTTTATGGCAGGGTTTTACTCCCTTCAGCAACTGATTCACAAGTGTTGAGATTCATAAAATATTCATTTAAATATTGTGCGAGGGGTTATCAAACACACGCTGGACACTGGGCACACTCCCTGATCTGTGCAGTTAAATAATCGCTCAGTATTAACCTATTAGTTGTAGAAATCTTCTTGGGATTACCCATAGATGATAGGCGGTGCTGCTGGGAAAACCTCATCATAGGCAGCCGCTTACTGAATGGAAATCCATTTTGTGGCTGCTGTCTCCACAAATAAAACAACAATATTCTCTGCCAATGCTCGGCAACAATCAATAAGCTACCGAAAATATACAAAATGCACTCAATGCGTGACAAATTCAATTATGGTGTGGACTAATGCTCGGTTCATTGCTAAAGGAAACGAGCAAAATATAAAGGGCTTCCAAAAGAGGGAAAAGAAGGAAGAAAACATATCTAAAAGAGAGGAGGAATCTCTTTTATTAAAATATATAAAAACATAAGTGAGTCGAGTGCATTGTTGCCCACGATCAGATCAAGCATAAGCTAATTTCTTCATTTAAAAAATATTTAAAAAGAAACCTATTAACCACAGTAAGCACTTTTAACATAACTTCCACTCCCTTCCACAATCTGGTTAAGCAAAGTTAAGATCGAGCAGCAAAAAATTCTCAAACATTTGTTTATTCGTCATATACAGAATGCCAAATGGATTTTGCTGCGAATGACAGCGTGGTTAGGCCCTCTATGAAGGACACTCTCGCTGCAAAGAAGGGCGGGACAACTGACGGGGAAATCATAATTTCTTTTATTGATTTTCCTAGTTAACTTTTTCTTTCCTTTTCTTCGCCTGAGAAGATTCCATTCGTACTTTTTTGGTGACAGGCAGAATTTGTTTCGGGGGGGAAACTTTTTATTTGAATTTAATTTTTTCTATATATATAACATACGGGAACGGAACAACAACACCAGGCTCGAAGCGAGGCCCAGTCACGCACACAAACACACACACACTGGCAATAACAGCTTAAGCACTTGAGGTGCCAATGGAAGAGAAAAAGAGAGATGGAATGAGGATACCCTGTGTGGAGTAAGGTGCATAGTTTGGGGATGCAAGTGCAGGTCTTTCTTCGATTTATGGAAACATATTAGATGTTATAGGGTCACCCTTTCGACTATCTTTTACATGCAGAGTGACGAAACTTAAAATTAAAATGAAATCAGTATTAAGCTGAATATTTGATGGGCATCCCTTAGTCGCAACCCTCAACGGTCTCGCTTCTTCGTTGTTTTGTCTGTGTTTGATGTTGAAGTTTATAAAGCACAACCACTGTGCTTAAGTGTGTGTGTGTGTTTGTGTGTGACTGAGTGTGTGATTAGGCCATCCAGTGGGTGAGTGAAGTGTATGTGAAGGTGGCGACATTTTGGGGTCTATACAGCCAAGCTCTTCCCATGCCATATCCCACTCCCCTAGGCGGAGGCACAGACCTAGTCCCAGTCCCAGTCCACTTGCGCTTCTATTTAGCTGTGTGTTTATTTTCGGTTCAGAACGCGATTTTCCAATCGATTGAGCACGTGACAAGCTGTGTGTGTGTGTGTGTGTGTGTGTGTGTGGATATGTCCTGCCCGCTAATACATCCCCAATATGTCAGAGTATTGCTGAAGTAATTCAAAACTTTCCAGCGTAACTCGAAACCATCAATTTTGAAGCACTCTCCGTGCTACTCCCACCCGCTGACATCTCCATTTCGAATGGAATCTATTTTTGACAACATTTAATTAACATTTTGCTCAACAATTCCGTTTTACCTAGCTCACATTTTGTGTTGTCCTTTAGACAGTCCTTTTTGTTTTGTCAGCTTTCGGTTTTCGGTTTATTTATGCATCAATTTGTGGCTCTGATTTATGTCGCCAGATATTTCCATTTCTCACTCCGTGAAAACGACTCCCACAAAAAAACCCAAATGCGAATTAAATTTGTGCGTTTTTTGCCGCGCAGAGTATCTGCCCTGCCCTGCCCTGGCCTGTCTTAAAGTATTATTCAGCTTAAGTTATGCCCAAATTGAGTAGGAAGTACGAGTAGCTGAGGGCTAGACGACCCCCATCATGGTGGGAGGGCAGGGCTCTGAGCTGGAGCAGCACACAAAGTAAAACGGAAGCTTGGGATGAGCCAAGCAATTGCGCGCCTTTCCATTTTGGGGCACTTAATGAAATCTACAAATTACGAGCACACTGCAGGAGAGAGCTGTGCGAGAGCAAAATGTGAGAGGAATATTGATATTTGAAATTCACAAAATGAAGAATAAATGAAAAGGTCATTCCGGTAGCTAGGACTTAACCACTCAACTGAGACTGCACGAACCCGTGGGCATAAGATAAAAGAACACTTTAAAAGATGCCCAAAATAAATTCTGAGCAATTTACAATTAGCTTGGAGTGCCTTTGAAGTCTTTAAATATGTTTATGAAATTCAGAAAAATAAAAAGAGGGTTAAGTTTGATTAAAATGTGAAATTTCTGCCTTAACTTTAGCTGTATTTTAATGCATTAAATCATTGAGCACATATGTGGTTCACATTTGAAAAAAAACATTAATTTTCATCATATGCAGAGAGTCCTTAATGGCCATACAAATGATGCTAATTAATATTCCTAAATTTATGCATGTCCTTTTGGCGTAGGCCAGGGAGAGAGAGAGAGAGACATTTGGGGTAAACGGGCTAATTAGCATGCGTTCTATATTTATATTTATCTCTGCTGCTCCATTGAGTGGCTCCAAGCTCAAGAGGACTTAGGCTCGATGGGGAAATCACTGTCAGCTTATTTAAGAACATTTTACCACGCGAGAGGGATTATTTCTCTAAGCGAAACTAACGAGAGGACCCGCCCGTGTGTGCGCTGCCAAGAGGATTGTGGTTCCTTCTTCATTCCATTCCATGAATATGAGTTACAGAGTTACATTTTGATTAACCATATAAGTGGATTTTGTAACTAGGTGCAGATACGAGCGGGAGAGAGAGTTTTCTGCCACAGATCACACAGGATTATCTTTGTTTTTAGATGTTTATGAAAATATTTAATATTTAAAAATAGACAAATTTCATTTCGATCCTAAATGTTCGCTAAGCCTATCGCAGGAAAACATCTTCAACAAAGTCGTAATGGGGACTCTTATATGTGAATCTTTCCTAGTTCCAAGTTACAGATTTGACTATGCTCCCACTGTAAGTTTAACAGGACAAGTCCCTGGCAAGGGATTCAGGATGCCACCGTGGATCTTTTTATACCCGGAACACGTACACGTATCACATATGCACACACTCTTATCCCTGTACTCGTAGATATCTTTATTATTACACCGTTCGCCGTTTTTGTGGCTTGCATTACACTTGAGTTGATTTATTATTTATGCCTGCGAGCGAGCAGCAATCGATATCTCTTCTCACAACTGCTTGGCTACCCCGTTACACAACAGTTTAAACTGTACCGTTACACATGACAGTTAATGACCCGACCATTGCCAGGGCAACCAAACTGCCCAGTGTGTGTGTCGGCAGGGGGTGTGTGTGGATGGTGTGTGGGTGTGGCAGTGGGTGTGCGGGTTGAGATTAGCGCAACGAAGCCCGACTGTCAGCAGCATTAGCCGCTAGGGCCATCTACTTAAAAGTTTTCCTGATGTCATTGCGCCGACTGCCGGTTGCCGAATGCCGCTGGCAACGCGGAGTAAAGGCAACGGGTCTTGGAGTACCCTTTTAGAGTAGGGTAGGTTTGACCCGGAATTGCAGAGCAGAAAGAGCATCTTTTGCCATAAAGTTAAAACTCTAGTCAATAGATTTAATTCCATATTTTTGATAATTATGATGCCCTGCAATCGAAATAGTTTGACCTTATCCCATATGCACACAATAGCCATGCAATTATTATATCTGCAGGGTATCGGCAGTTTCACACCCCAAATTTCGCATTCATTTCTTTTTAGTTGTTTTGGTGGCGACCCATCTTCGCTTATTACACAGTTGAGATGTTCGACACACGTGTGGGTGTGCGGGTTGGGGGCGTGTGGTTGGGTAAGGAAGGAAGGAACGAAGGAAGAAGGAACACTGCCTGGTCAGAGTTAGGACCCATAAAGCGTCGTCACAAAAGCTGTGGGATGCGCTTGGTTGTTGGTGTGCCTCTGTCGGTGTGGTGTGAATTGCAAGAGCGGCGAAACGAAAGAGAAGAGCTGTAATGACTAGCGGATGCCCTTTAGTTGAACATATTATAGGTGCAATAGTTTTGAGCTCTTTTAGGATTGAACTATTATAAACAAACGAACAGACTGGTAGGCTTTTCTGGCTGGTCATGCTCAAAAATAAGCGCAATTATGAGCATGTTCCTTCCCTTTGATATGCGAAACATGTGCGTCCATGAACCCAGCACTCCCTCTGTTCCTCCTCGAATGGCTGAGTAACAAAATCCAGTGGCGTACAAATTGTTTTTGCAATGCTATAAATGTAAACAAAATTAACATATGCAAATTTTTTAAGCCCACGTGGACGCGTATGTGTGTGTGTGTGTGTGAGTGCTACTGTTTGTGCTTTTGTGTGTGTGTTTGAGTTTTGGTGAGCTTGACGCCAACATTTGGCATTTAGACAAATAGGCTGGCTGGTCTGGCCTGGCCTGGCTGGCTGGCTGACTGTCTCTGAGGCGAGACTTCTTGCTGGATTATGCATGTGGAATACTATGGGTGTGTGTGTGTGCTCTCCTTTTCTTGTGGAAAAGTTGAATTATGTTCGGAAAATGCAAAATACTTTTAGCCATATGTTGGCTGCACTCTAACGGCAAGAGCGTGAGAGAGGAAGGGAGAGCTGCAGAGGTGGCAGCCAACTTGTTTGGCCTCTTTATGGCTGAGACTATTAAAGGCACATTACACACTACACAGTCTTTGTTATTATCCCATACCGACAAGCGAATAACTCTGATAACCTTGATCGAAGCGGCAGCAACCAAGTCCTCTTTGTACGTGTAACTGTATAACGGTGCCGCCGCATAGGAAGTCGTTAGGATAGGGCCCATATAAGCTCATACCATCCGCATCGCATTCATAATAAAGCAGAAACGATAAAGAAGGCGGGGAAGAGGGAGAGGTGATGGCATAAACTAAGACTCTAAGTTGTTGGCTGACAAGAATAAAGCAACATTTACTTCATATTTTATGAATTAATCACGATAGAATAATAAATAATGTGCACATAATTTACATACTCGTACAATCGGATAAGCGGTATAACAAATTGAGATGAATTAAGCTGTTGAGCAAGGAGGGAGAGAGAGATGAGGGAAGATACGCTAGAGGATTATTTATACCCAGTAAAATCATACGCAGAATCATACTGAAGGATCACATCTGCTAGAGTGAAAAAATACATTGAAATGAGATAACAAGTTTAGCCATAATAAACAATAAAAGTTGCAGAGTCACCCAACTGTCGCGTGGCTCCTTGAACACCTGGCTTTTCGCACACTATTTGTGCCAGAGCAACGAGCTTTTAAGAGGCACCCCCAAAAATATTCACCACTACAAATTATAAGCTGACTATAAGCAATTGTATCGACGATTTAACGACAAACGTGACTAGGCCAACCTATTTTGGGTTGTAGTTGCCAATATTGCATCAAAGTACGAATCGTTTGCTGATAAGAATGTTGTCAACGAGACCTTTTGGGTCATCTAAATAGATTTATTTTAAAGGCCCTCTTTTGATTGTGAACCCTAACACTAGATTTCGTTATCAGAAATATATTGTTGGGCAAGCAACAAAAAGTATAGAGATAATGAAGCGATTGACAGAGTATGGGACATAAGTCAGTTTAGCTTGGGTTGCCAGCAACGTAGTTTTGGGGGGCTTACCCATTCTAGCCATAATAAAGCTCTCCAGAATTCGTTTGTCTTTTTTGGCTTATAAATTCGTATTGGAAGTGTGTCGTTTGAAGCGATAATCCCTTGAATCTTGATTAAATGTAGCTAAAACTGTATGTTTAAATATTCTGCTACAAATTTCTACCATCTCTTGCATTCCATTCATTACTTTCGTTTCCAAACAGCATATAGAACATGCCACCTATTTTTATAACAACTTTCCCTTGCATAAATAATTCATAGCCATCGCTAAATATAAAATTTCTTTGGCTCATCAATCCCAAAATCCGTATCCATATCGATGCAGCATGTTTCGACATTTAATGTTAATCTATCATTACAAATCGATTGGGTTGGGGAAATGGCTCATCATATATGGGAAAAAATGAATGCCAATCTATTATTTGTTTTTGTTTGCAGGCAATCAAGAGTAGCAGCAGCAGCAGCAGCAGCAGCATCGCATCCAATGGCTGAGGAGGAGCTCTTTGGCGATTTACGTATGTATAAACAGTCATCAATTTATGGCACATACTCGCAGTAGTTCGAGCCCTAATTAATATAAACATGTAGCATACATTGCCCCTTCCCTGAGGCAAAAGATTGCTCTGGCTAATGAATAAACTGGAGGCATAAGTCAATCGACAATGGGCTTAATTAGGCCAGGGCAGGGCACAGCCAGCCGATTTGTGTAGAATTTTTAGTGGCTAATTGAACATTGTTATTGCTGTTGCTTGGTGCTGCTGCTTGCTGCTGCGTGTGGCATACAACCGAAACACGAATCACGCACCAAAGTGGCATCATAAGTCTGCCAAATGGCTGTGGCCCACAAACATTTGACGTCAGAGCAACTCCTGGCACGACGTTGACCGCTTGAAAGCAATGGCAAATCAAAATTATCCATCTCTTGGTGCCCTTTTGGCAGTGAGGAATTAGACAAATGGCATACCAATAAACACTGTGGAAAAACATTGTCCAAATGCTCGTCTGTCTGGGTATAATTTTGCCCTTGCCAAAAGCGCATCAAATGAAACTTTATGAAGCACGCTCGTACTTAGTAACTGCCTTAAGTTTTGCACGCTTTACTTATACTTGTAATTAGATATCTGTCAGTGCGAGTGGAGAACTAAACTTTTCTTTTTCCCAAGAGATTCCAAGTTGGTCGAGGGCCATCCATGTTCTAGTTCTTGCGCGTAAATTGTTTCTGGCATTCTGACTTATTGATTTATGTGTTATGTCGCCCCCCCCCCGTATCTGCAGAGGACATTATCAATGCCAGCATGGAGGTAAATGGCGGTGCTGGTGTACAGGCAGGCGGCAATATGCCTCAGGTATTTCATCAGTCCACATCGCTGCCGGTGATGCCATCGGCCATGCCGCTGGGCCACAACCAGACACCGACGACGACATCCAAGACGACGCCAGCAGCCAAGGCCAAGACGGGTCCACACCTTCGCATCATTGAGGAGCCAACAAATAATATAATCCGCTTTCGCTACAAGTGCGAAGGCCGCACGGCTGGCTCCATACCGGGCATGAGCTCCAGCCCGGAGACGGGCAAAACCTTCCCCACCATCGAGGTGTGCGACTACACGGGCCCCGTCATCATCATCGTCTCGTGCGTGACCAGCGATGCGCCCTATCGCCAGCATCCCCACTGGCTGGTCAGCAAGGAGGAGGCGGACAGCTGCAAGTCCGGAGTGTACAGCAAGCGACTGCCGCCGGAGGAGCGGCGTTTGGTGCTCCAGAAGGTGGGCATACAGTGTGCCAAGAAGCTGGAGATGCGCGACTCGCTGCTGGAAAGGGAGCGCAAGAATGTGGATCCCTTTAAGGGTAAGAACAATGCATAAAGACTGAAGTTGTTGCTCAACTTGTAACCTTTCCGCTCTCCTCTTGGTAGCTAAATTCGATCATAAGGATCAAATCGATAAGATCAATCGCTATGAGCTGCGTCTGTGCTATCAGGCATTCATTACAGTGGGCAACACACGCGTGCCCCTCGATCCCATCGTATCTTCGCCCATTTATGGCAAGAGCAACGAGCTGACCATCAGTCGCCTGTGCAGCTGCTCGGCCAAGGTGAGTGGCGGCGATGAGATCATTATGCTGTGCGAAAAGATCTCCAAGGATGACATAGAGATACGCTTCTACGAGACCGACGAGGACGGCAGGGAGCTGTGGCACGCCAATGCCGAGTTCCAGCCCACGGATGTGTTCAAGCAGATGGCCATAGCGTTCAAGACGCCGCGTTATAGGAACCCCGAAATAACACAAAGTGTTAATGTAAGCAGAGCAAATGTCATGGGAAATACAAGTCTAGAATGTAACTCTCCTTTCCCCCACAGGTGGAACTGAAGCTGGTGCGACCCTCGGATGGTGCCACGAGTGCCCCTTTGCAGTTCGAATATTATCCGAATCCAGGTATAGTAACCTTTGCCCGGCTGCAGCGTAAGCTGAAGCGCAAGCAGGAGATGGATGTGTTCCAGCAGATACTCTCTCTAGATAGCGAAACGACAGCCACCAAGTACTCGTGTCCGCCGCTCGATCTCAACGAGGATGAGAATAACACAGTGTCCTCCGATGATCAGCAGAGTTCGGGCACCCTAAATGACTTTGAGATTGCGGTGAAGAAGCAATTGATGCACTTGCAGCACCGCGGGGAGTCTCACGATGCGGATGGCAACACCATGACGGAGTACACGGACAATGACAACGAACCGGACATGGAGATTGAGCTGGAGGTGCCGCAGTTGTTGCCACAACTAGCCGATGATTGCACCCAGACATCCACGCCCATGGAGGAGATTCTGCAGCATCCCCAGCTGCAGCCGCGGCCCCTCAACAATGTGGACAAGATCACCGAGTGGATGAAGAGCAGCGAGTTCGAGCGCACGGACAGCCTCACCGTGGAGAATGGAGACACGCCCTCAATGTCCAACAGCACCGCCCAAACGGCCTTTACGAATGTGAGCAGCCTGACGGCCAATACGACCATCACGAATCAGCTGGATGGGGATGGAGATGAGGAGGGTGCAGGCTCACGCAGAGATACGCTAGAGAATCCAACAGTCAAGGAGCTGCCGGAGGCAGATGGAGCTCCTCCAGCCCACGAGGAAGTGGCAGAGGAGCAGCCACCCGAGCAATTGGGGGGTTCTGCCAGCGCCCAGGCCTCCGTGGATCTCGATGAGAACTTTGATGAAACGGCCACGTACACGAGCCTGCAGATAGCCTTCAACAATCCCGTGGGCATGCCCAGGGACTCAACAGCCTCCAGGCAGACTTACGCAGCCACCAATCCCTTCAGTCAGATGGATGAGGATGAGCTGGTGGTGCTGACAAATCCCCCCGCACCGAGGATCAAAGTGAATGCAGCACTGACGCCAGCCACGCCTCCTTCGCCCACACTGCCGCAGCTGCCGCCGCGCACGCCCTCGCCGGATCCGGACTACCGTCTGCCGCCGTTGCCACCCAAGCCGCAGAGAAACTCCCAGGATCTGAGCATCGTGAGCGATGGATCGATCAATCGTTCGCGCAATGGCAGCCTCAGCTCCGCCCGGACCACGCCCTCGCCCATTATCATAATGCGAACGCCCGACCAGAGCCCCACCAAGCGGCAGCCAACGTCCACGCCGAGTGCCTCGCCCAAGAAGCGGCAGGGATTCTTCTCGCGTTTCTTCTCGCGTCGCAAGAGCAGGGCCGAGGAGGAGGAGGGTGCGCTCACGGTGGGCGCAAGTCCCAGCAATCAGCAGGGAAACTCCTCCAAGGCCACCACGCCCACGGGCAGCCGAGAGCCCAGTGTGGCGCACTTTGCTCTGGGCGATCCCAATCGCAGCTCCAGTCGGTCCATGCAGCCGCCGAGCAACTGCAGCGCCGGTCGCAGTGGCCGGCCCGTGGGTCGCAGCTCGAGCAGCGTGTCGGGCAAGAGACCCGCCCACCTCGATGCCGATGTCATTCACATCCCCCTGAAGGGCGGCGACAGCGAGAACAGTCTGCTGCGGCCCGAGAGCTACTCGACGGCCAGCACCCTCAGCTATGGTCGACCGCTGGATCGGAAGACCCTGAGCACCCTGCAGCTGGCCGACATACCCATCAGCGATGGCAACATGGAGCTGGTGGCCATTGCCGATCGCCAGAGCATTCGCAATTTGTGCGAGGGCGCCTACGGCGTTGTGCTCGATCCCAGCGTGGATCTATCCGAGGCGGAGCACTTTGCTCTGTACACCAGCAAGTCCCCGGAGCCGCCAGAGCAGGAGGGAGCTGACGCGGGTGCTGGCGGAGCGGAGGCTGCTGATTTTCTGAGTGCCGATGAGATAGCGCGACGGCTGGCAGAGGCCAATGGATTGCAGTGAGGCTGAGGAGGGTTAGAACTGGGGGGTTTCGGGTGAAGGATTTGGGTTTGATCATGGCAGAGAAGAGAGTTCTTTGGGTGTTGATGGTATTCCGAAAGGGATCAGGGTGGACCCTACAGAGACCAAGACACACATTTGTATCCCTCCAAGCTTTATAACAATATTTATATGTGTATTACCTACAGAAATACCTGACAACAAGCAAGATTTTTGAAAGATTTTCCCACAGGGTACAGAAACAGCGTTGAAGATTTACCCGAACCCCCTGTAGAAAAACTACAAAAACCGAACTTTATTTTTATTTCTTTTATTTTCTAGTCGTTTTTCTTTTACAGTATTAATTAACGCTTATCTCTATCCCCCACCCAACACACACTTACACTTACTTACGAAACGAAGCACTTACATCCGTATACGTATTATTCTTTATAGAAACCTTTACCCAGCACAGTCGTCTGGTGGCGCGCAAGGCCGTTGAGAACCTTAAGAGGAATCTCATGAGCAGCGAGTTCTCTGATTTCCATCAGAGTGCCAAGCAGCCCAAAACTTCCTGTAAGTTCTCTTTCGTTTCTATTCGGTGCTGGTGATTCTTGGGTTTCGGGATTCATACTCTTCACATCTATGCAGTTCCTATAAACATCCACATACACACACTCATAAAACGATTCAAATGTTTAGAGCTTATAGATCATATTATTGATCACTATAATACCTACCTATAGATAACCAAATGTAGCTGATACCTTGTGGACCAATAGGTTGAATTGTCTCGTTGCAACTTGTTTGGGAATTGTCGTTGGTTTTTTTTTTGTATGGATTTAGATTTGTTGAGGGGCCGCCCAGGTTGACGTGCACATTTGTTGTATTTAAACTTTTGATGAATAAAAGCGTTTGGTATGGAAATCCAGATATTAATTTTCTATGATTTTTATAAGAATATTTTGTGTTCCTTGGAGCTGCAAATAGTTCCAAGACTTGTTGCTTGTTGCCTCTTGAAATGGCTTGAATAGTTGTTGTAAAAAATCTTTTAACCCTGCAAAATTGATGAAATATTCCAATGTTCTCTCGCTCCAATCGTTCTACAAATATTTCCTTAAACTGAAAGAATATTTCCCATTTTTCTTACCAGATTTGTGTATGTAAAAACATTTCTTTGGTCTCCAAGTTCTCTTTTGCTTGAGTCAAACAGTTTGAACATTGAACGTTGCTGTAACCATAACCTTTTCCTATACGACCTACTTCTGGTCAATATACTTGAAATCAATGTCTCATTTGAGAAACTTTCGTCCTTCAAGGGCATTAAGAATATTCAAAGCTGCCGCCGTTTGTGTTCCCTCGTTTCCTGCTCTTTCCCCCATCTAGCTTTTTCCTAGCTCCAGTGGATGCTCCAACTGATGAGGAACCGACAGTAAGTTGGCCTCGGCCTAATGCCCAAGCAAGTTGATGTTGTGGTTTGCCTTTCTGTGTCCTTTTTAAGTTCCGCCAAATTGCTTTAGTTTTGCCTCAGTTTGTGCCTGCCTCAATTATGTAAATGCTTTTAGCCTTGTAGCCGCCGTGTCTTGCGTTCATTAACCTTTCGTTTCATTGTAATCTAATACCAAGCTGTGCCACAAGTTGCTAAAAACATTCTCTATACATTTTTGTGTGTGTCCTTTGCAGTGGCCCAGCCGCCGCAGATAACGATGACGACCGCACCGGCGCCACAGATGTCACCCGCCATGGGCATGATGTATGCGGGTGGCAGTCCGCACTTTATGCAAGAGATTAAGCTGGAGAATCCCTACATGGATGTGGACAGTCGCAGCAGTCAGTGCGCCTCGGTGGACTACAACTTTCCCTCGCCACGTTCCACCTGCAGCACAACGGACGGCATACCGCCCATGAGAATCGGCGCGAATAATAATCTCTATCAGAATTTGGATATGGGCACGACGCTGCAGGAGCCAGCTGCGAGCTTTTCTGCGCGGAATGGCTGCAGTCCGACGGGGTTTAGTGGCGGTTCCATGACGCCCATCAACCACAACAGCAACAGCAGCAGCAGCCACAACCTGATCAACAATAACTTCTTGAGTCTCAAGCTGGGCACAATGAATCCACCGTCCCTAACACCGCCACAGCAAATGGAACAGCAGACGGCCATCAAGCAGCGTTTTCTGGTGCAAGAGTCACAGCCAGCGTCACACTACAACCTGCAGCAGACACAGCAAGAGCAGCAACAGATGCAGCAGCAGCAACATCAGCAGTACCCGCAGCAGCAGCCTCAGCCTCAGTCGGAGGGCCAGCATCAATCCTTCAGCGATCTGATATTGTCCAGCACGTTAATGGATCTGGGGCCCATGGACACAAACGATCTGCTGCAAGGCATGGAGGAGACGCTCAGCAGTTTGGGCCTAACAGGAGGTGGCGCTCCAGCCACGCAAATCAACAATCAGTACAATAATTATTATTAGTTTTATATATGCTTAACCATCAATAGAGCTATGTGTGTAGCTGGCTGTTGTGTGGCAGGAGCCAAGCCAACTATGCAACCACTATAGACCTCTATTACAGGACTCTGCCACGAGCAGATTGTACATAGATTTGATGTATGGAGTAGAGAGAGTGAGAGGGATATGCGAATCTCAGTGAACGTTGTCTTGTTTTGTTAATGACAAATTTGATATATAGAATAAACTATAATTTATGAGATGTTAAACGTTTGATGGATGCACTTCATGTGTCTGCTGTGGATTTTTGAGTGGGGAATGTGTGTGCATAATACTAGGTGTAATGGAAACTTAGGATATAAATATGTGTGGGTAATGTTGTGTAATGTTAACTGCCTTTTAGCGACAGAAATGCGGCTGTCCCACACTGGGCTTGGGCTCATCTTTCATGCGGCTAAAGAACTCCTTGATGTCCTCCTCCTTCACGACCTTATCTTGCAAGGCGAAACTCTTTAGGTAATCCTTTAGCTTGTGCGTCATGCGATTGTACTCGGTTATGGCATCAATCTGCTGTGTGCGATCGATGGAGGACAAGGCGCGCATGCCCTGCTCGTAGCTGGAGTTCTCCGCGGCACGCTGCATGCCGCGCTCCTCGTACGTCTTGGCCGAGTCATCCACATCCAATAGGAACTCCACGGCAAACTCTTTGAAGAGCGCCAGGCAATCGGTGCATTGGCAAAGCGATTTGCGCCAGTCGTTGGTCCAGAAAGCGGCACCTAGAAAAAGAAAGGAACATATAATTAGTAAGCTGTTCAATCAAGCAAGCCCTGACTCTGCTTTCCGTATTGTATTTCCATCCAAACCTATCACAACTCTATCTTGGTTCTAACCCTAACATAAAATATATTTTATTTGAAATTTTCTTTGCTCCACAAATATGAATTTGGAGTACTTTACGGAGGGCATGGACTGCCTGATGTACTGCGGCCTGAAGCTGTCTCCAGAGCAGCGCATACTCATCGAGAACTCGTTGATTGCCCTGCAGAACGATAATCGCTTCTCGGGCATGTATCTGTGGGGTCGCATTGCGGCCACCAAGAACGATTATTACATTGCCTTTGGCTACACCAACGATTGTTTGAAGGATCGCAAATATTTCTACAGCCTGGATCAGTTTCAGTGGCAGCTGCTGCCGTTCGTGCAGAGTCCAAAGATCTTTCAGGCCACGACATTGGCCCGTCAGCCATTTATAGGGGATCCCAGTCTGATGAGCTACGTGAAGTTGGTGAGTGGAAAGTGCAGCCATTGGGCACTGAAATTGCTGCTTAACTAACTCTTTCCGTGTAGGATCCCACATTTGAGATTGTGGGCAATCATGTGGTGGGCGTTGCTCGCCCGGAGGTGGTCAAGCTGAAGGAGGAGGAGCGCCTGGCTGCCATTGTCTTCATCATAACCGAAGAGTGCGCCATCTGTCCGCGCGGTGCCCTGTACAAAATGACCGATGGCCGCGTTATACCCAATCCAATGTTCTGCGGTTTGGACAACCTGCAGGTGGACAACCAGTCGTTCTATCAGCTCTATCGTCTGCCCCGCAACGACCTCAAGGTGAACCTGTCGAAGCGCAGCGACTACAACTATCCAATTGACTTTCTGGACACCATTGACTGTGTGATTCCGCTGGGGCAGGCCTTTGCCCTGAACTTGCAGCGCAACGAGCGTCTGGTCGTGATCAAGTCGTGCCTCTGGCTGGGCATGACCTTCTTCCACAAGATTAACTCTCACAAGCACGGATTCTTGTACCTTGGGGATGGCAAGAAGAATTCCGATTTGCTTTTCATGTATTAAGTTTTTCTCATTAAAAGTTTATTGCTTTGTGGGGGGAACCTGCACTTACCTTGATGTTTCTTTGTCGGATTGGGGCGACGGCAGTCTTCAGCTGTGAGCTTGGAGCGCTTGCTGGCGGGCTCCTCTGACTGCTCTGGCTCGGCATCAACCTGCACCTCTGCCCCTGCCTTGGACTCATTGTCCGCTTCAACCGGCTGCAGTGCCAGCCCAGTGTAGTCGCGCAGGAACTGATTTTTGTCCATGCAAGTGTCGCAAATCATTTCGCTGCACGCATCGAGCATCTTCTCGGATGCACCGGGAGCCTTCATGTGTGGCAAGTGATACCAGTCCTCGCACACAGCGCACTGCAGCATCACCTCCTCGGTGGTGCGCTCGGGATCAGGGTAGGGACGCTTGCAGGAGCAGTAGAGGCCCTGGAAGTTTTGGTTGTACAAATTGGCGTCGTTTGGCGGCTGGGGTGCGTCCAGCTGGGGATTGAGGCAGCAGCGCTTGACGGTGCCCAGGCGCAGTGTGGGACAGTCGCAGCGGAAGTTCCGCTTGGTGTACAGCTCCACCAGTTCGTGGTTCTCGTGGCAGCGATAGGAGCAGGCCAGGCAGACGCCCGCGCACTTGGCCAGATCCGTGCGCGCCTCCGGGCAGCAGGTGAGGCAGGAATACAAGGCCTGCCGCTGAATCGGACCCTTGGCATAGGTGCAGGCCTTCTCATCGGAGGCGCCCAGCACAGCGGCGTACTCGTCCTCCATCTCCTTCTCCTGCTCGAGCACATCGACCATGGTTATTGTCGATTGTTCGAGTGCATTGGCGTCCTCGCCCTCGCCTTCAGTTGCTTTGCTGTTCATCTCGCTCATTTCGTTGCTTAAACAGTTTAAATTTTGTCTTAGCTCTGCGTTATACTGATATTTATTGGAAATGCGCCATTGGCGCGTTGTTGTACGAAAAATTGCAAATAATTGACGAATTAGAGATGGGCAGTACGACAGCAGAGGTTTCGATAAAATATACCGCAATGTACCAAAAATGTATGAATATACTAAACCATATACAGATATATCAGGAATGATCGAACTTAACCCATTTGTCGCCCCTATATTAAAAAAGAACGAGATAAATCCAATACATTTTGCTGTTCATTTATTGATATTAGAGGCATATTAGAGGAATATTTCAACATATCCACGGTGAGTATTTCGCCAAAAACAATTATCGTAACGTAACGCAACATACCTACCAACGTAGGCGAACGTTTCCCGGAAAAAGTGCGACCAGATCTTCAAAATATGTTATCGATTGCTGCTCTGCAAAAATTTAAAGTCAAAATATTGATTTGCAATAAAAGTAAATAAATTGGTAAATAAGCCTAGACACAGCCATGGACTTTACCGGCTTTGAAGTGCGCAAGGTGAGTGAAGCATGCAAGTTCTCGGTGCATTGTTAATCCACTCCCAATCTGTTGCAGTGCCCACCGACTGCCATGTACATTCCAAATTTCATTACTTCCGAGGAGGAGCAAAGGATCCTTAGTCATATCGAGCGTACGCCAAAGCCGCGCTGGACACAGCTGCTGAATCGCCGGCTGGTCAACTATGGCGGTGTGCCGCATCCCAATGGCATGATTGCCGAGGAAATACCCGAATGGCTGCAAAGCTATGTGGACAAGGTGAACAATTTGGGTGTCTTCGAGACACAGAATGCCAATCACGTGCTGGTCAATGAGTATTTGCCGGGCCAGGGCATTCTACCACACACCGATGGACCACTCTTCTATCCCATCATATCCACAATTTCCTGCGGCGCGCACACCGTGCTGGAGTTTGCGAAGCGGCAAGTAGAGGGAGAGGCCGGGGATCAGGCGTGTCGGGAGGTTCTGTTCAAGCTATTGCTGGAGCCGCGCAGTCTGCTCATTCTGAAGGACACGCTGTACAGTGATTACTTGCACTCGATTGGCGAGATCAACGAGGATGTGCTCTGTGATCGCATTTGCAACTACGATTTGTGTGAGACCACCTACAAGATGGGTGACCATTTGGTGCGCCGCGCACCACGCATCTCCCTGACCATACGCAATGTGCCCAAGACCAGCAAAATGAAGCTGAAGTTCTGCTAGACTGACCCAAAAAACCGAAGCACGTTAATGTTGTAGCTGTTGATTAAATGTTAACTAAAAATGCACAAACAAAAAGCAAACCCACTGATGTCTCAGCACCCGTAACTTATTCGGGGTGCATGAATCTTCCGCTAGTTGTTTAAGCACCCACACGCGCACCTGAGCAATCCAATGTTTGCCCAACAAAAGTGCTTTATTTTACCATTAATATTATGAGTAGATATATATATATATAAATGTTTTTTGTATTACGTATATTGTGAAGCAATAAGTTCAGCCGCTCTGTGACAGGTTCCTTAACCCCAAGCTGGATGCAGCAGTCCGGCTGTTTAGATTTAGTTTCGCGCAGCAATTTTTTAAGAGCAATCCACGGCTGAGAGCTATGAATTGTGTACAACCTATTGTTAAATGGAGAAATGATCCCTCTGTGTGTATTTTTGTAACCATTTTTTGTCACCCTGCACCGAACAAAATGAAAAGTGTTGCAAAATAAAAGTTATTGTCGATTGTTACCACACGCAGTGTGCTCCCACAACTTAGCCCTTTTAGGCATCCGCCTCCTGCCACTCCAGACGAAACTCCCGCTCGAAGACCAGCCGATCGTACAGACGCACCTCGCTGATCCGCGCCGAGATGTCCAGTCGCAGCTCGCTCACCGCCAGATGAAAGTTCTGTCGCACGGTGCGCTGCTTGTCCGGCGTCAGTTGGTTCAGGGGCTTCCTGAAGATGCTGATGATGCGCTGCAGATGATACTCCACACTGGCGCAGCGCCCAATGCAGACCCACAGGTTCTCCGGGTCGTGTATGTTGCCCGGAAAGCGGGTGCGCTGATCGAACGGCGCCTTGCCCGACAGCAGCGCCCGCACCTCGGCCACAATCTCTTGGTGTGTCTTCAGGTCCCTGGTGCTGAGGGTCGTGAACTCGTATTTGTCGCAAAAGTACATCAGTTCGGAGATGGCCACCCAGGGCTGCGAGGAGAGCGTTGTATGATGATTCGACCAGTTGGAGTAGCCCGCGGGCGTCGGCGTTTTGGTGGCAGTGGCCGCAGCAGCTGCTGTGGCCGTGCCACTGGCCGGGGCAGTGCTCTTCGTGGGGCTGCCCACTTTGGCTGGCATGGGCTTGATAGCCGCTTCCAGGCTACTTCCATTTGTGGCTCTCTTTTCTGCGGTGCGATGCAGCTGCTCCATTTCCTTCTCGTGCTCGCGTGCCCTCAGATACGCCTCCTTCTTCATTTGCAGCTCCTGCAGTTTGGTCAGCTTCGGCGGCGACGAGGACCGTGTGAATATGCTGGCCGGCGGTGGGGGTGCCGGTGTCGCAACACCGCCTATACTCAAAGCAGACTCATTCTCTGTGTAAAGCGAATGGCCGTTGGTGTCCAGCGATGCACTGCGCCCGTACTTGGCCCGATAACGCTCCAGGGTGTCCAGCGAGAAGCTGAGCTCCTTCTTAATGGCTTTCTGCATGGTTTTTTCAACCCGAGCGATTCGCTTTCGGCTTTTATGTAATCACCTTGAAAGCGTTCAATGCGTTCCTACAATTGCACGCGTGTTCCCCTTCGAGAATTTACAAGCGAATGCACAAAGCGAATTTCGAACGAACGAAATTAATTTTGCTCTTCTTCGGCAGGGCTCTCTCTTTATTTTTATCTTTTATCAATCGGCGGCGGGCCATGTGCACTTTATTTTGGTCTCTGCCAATACATTTTGATTCGAATACAACAATTTTGAACACACACACACACACACACGGAGAAAGGCCAAACAACTTGTAGAACGACTAAATGCTCTAACTAAACTAATCTAATGTGGAGATTAGCTTCTTTTTTAATTCTCGCTTCTTCAATTTGCGTATTCCTTTTTTCAAACGTTTCACGGAATATTTCCTTATGAATTGTTTGGTTTTTTTAAGTTTTTTGCAACGAATTGCTGGCGAAAGTTCTATCTCGGTCAGCAACTGTTGTAGACTGGGAAATTTGCGCAAGTTCTGTGCTGGCAGTTGGACAGCAGCTGGGAGCGCCTGATGCCAGAAAAACAAAGGCTGTTTCTGCACAGGCTCCTTCGCTTTGGGTGTGGTATTCCAGTTCTGATCCGCCATTGCCAAAAGGTAGGAACTAAATTTGAAGAATTTAAAACATTTTCCTTAAAATTCGAATAATTTTTAGTTCTTTTTTCACTTACTTTAATTTCTGTTCCTATTGTTACCTTGCTGCGTTGTGGCTGAAGTTGAACGGATTGATTTCAAGTCTTACTTTCGGAGCTAGAACTGGTGACAGACTCACAGCCTACTTTTCCGTACAATTTATAAATTTGTGATTGATTTATTTATTATATCGTAATGGCACACATTGTGGATGAAGTACAAAATCTTATTGAATTCGTTGCATACATATTTTATTTATTTATTAAGTTTATTTCTCGTTTTGTTGTTGTTTGTCGTGTGCCTGATTTTTCTTTAATTAAAAATGCACAAAGTACACATTGAATACTTTTTAATTGCTGTTTGTCTGCCAGCTCAACAGGCAGCTTGCTAATCGTTCACATGGATTGTGGTTAAATAAATAAATCGCCTTAAACAATACGTAATAGAAAAATGTACAAAATTACACACAAAATTGCTTGACAAAAACAAAAAAAACACACACAGACACAGACATATACATAGATACGCGTAGAACTAACTAGAAAACATTCTTACAACTACAATAGGGAGAGGGAGCGTGGGTTAGCAGAAGGCACAGGGTATACACAGAAGTGAGCTTGATTTAGTGGACAGATCAGTGACAAGTTTAAGTAGAAAGTTCCTTAGCTTAGGGTTAGTTTGCAAATGTACAATTAGGTTGGTGTCCACTCTCGCTTGTCCTTTCAAACGCAGTAGGACGAGGGCACCTCGAAGATAATGCTGCCAGCGGAATGACGGAAATTTGGTATCTCCACATTGGCCGCACCCTCGACCACAATGTTGCGCGGTTTATCGCCCAATCTGCAGGCAATATTACTGCTCACATTCACGCGCAGTTCCGTGCCAGTTAAGCTGCAAGAGAACACACAAAATTAAGGCATGGTTGAAGCGTGTTGTGCTCCATTGCTGCTTGACTTACTCATGATACTTCTTGCAGACAATGCCCACCAGCTCGCCAATGCGATCCTCCCTCAGTGGTGATGTCTCGCCTTGCAGCGAGAACACCAAATCGTTGTTCTTGGGCGAGTGGAAGACAATCAGCTGATCGCGTCCGGGCGTAACACTGATTGAAGTCAGCTGTGGACAGAGAGGTAACAGATGTTAAATGTTTACAAGGTTAGAAACTAATCCAAACTCACCTCTCTGATGCCAATGGAGCGCTGTAAATCACGGAACTTCTTCTTGATGCCATCCAGCTTGTAAATGGTCGAGTCTGTCACAATGAATGCACGATCCGCCTGCTTGTTGTGCCGATTGAACTTCTTCACGAAGCCGGAGAAGAGCACCTGGCGTACGGAGTCGCCACCGCCGTGATTCTTCATATTCCGCACATTTGTGGTGTACGAATCGTAGCCGCTGTTGTCCTGCGAGTTGGACAGATAGTCGCCCAGCCAACGACGCTGCTGGCCCCAGTGGGGTCGTCTGCCTGCCAACGCTGTGGCTGCAATGATCTGCAGCCGCAGCTGTGGCCACTCGCTGCGTGGATACTTGCGCAGAATCATGCAAGCGCGCCAGTTATCAAAAATGCGATGCAACTTCGCCTCCGCCTTGCGTCCTGCCAGCGGGGGATGTGGCCATTGAATGCTCTTGCCGTAGTCCCGCAGCTGTTTGGCATTGCGGAAGCGATTGGCCAGCTCCTGGACGTAGCTGCGCAACTTGTAGGTTTTGTAGGCCCGCATTATGGCCATGGCTGCCTTCATCTTCTTGTAGTTGCGCCGGGCAATCCAGCCACGCACCTGCTTCTGCAGCAGCGTCACAATGTGTGGGATCATCTCATTCCGCTGCTGTTCCAGCGCAAACAGCGTCTTGGGGGAGCGTATAAAGATCTTGGTGTGGCCGTACTTTACATCCTGCGCGAAGCCCTTCTCCTCGATGAGCACACGCACGCCATCGCGATCGCTGCCGGCACGGAAATTGGGCCACGTGTACTGTGAGATCATTTTGTAGCGCAGCAGGAACTTGTCGTACCGCTGACGATGCACAAAGCCCGCACGACGCACGCGCACATTCTCGAGCAGACCTAAATACCGCACTTGATGCTGCACTCGCTCCTCGTCGAACACAGTGGAGCTCTTGATGTCATTTGGCTTGACGCAGCGCACATAGAAGGGTTCCTTCTTCAGCAGCGTCACGACCAGTTCGGCCATCGATCGCTGGAAGAGTGTGCCCGCTGTCAGCGGTCGCTTTGTGGTCTTCTTGATGTCCTGCGCACCCTCGGGCCACATCTCGCTGAGGTTTGCATCCTTGGAGTTGTGCAGCAAACGCTTAAAGTCCTGATACAGCGTGTCCTTGTTCTTTTCGATGAATCCATTGATGTTGTAGATGACATCCCCGGCGTAGTGCGTGATGCGGAAGTCCTCGCGATGCTTCAGCTCCTTGTCCGTGGGCTTCAGCTGGCGACTGGTGTAGTGCGGATGTTTGCTCAAGTTCTTATCCATGGCGCCCAGCAGCGTGTCATCGGTGACATTGCCCACACTCAGACAGGCCTCATCCATGATGGCAATGATGCCCTTGTGCGGCTGCTCCACAAGATCGCAAATGATCTGAAAGGCAAATGGAAAGGGATTTTAGTTTAAGGTTTGCTTGGAGCTAGTGCCTTTCGGGGACTCACCTTATTGTTAAAGTAATCAATATTTGTCCACTCGATGCCCTCGCGCTGGTACTCCTCCTGCTCCTGCTTTAGCACCAGTTCTGCGGCGAAATAAAATATTTTATAAGCTTCAATCAACGTTAAAGTCCCCTCCACACCCACCTATAAACAACTGCTGCAGCTTCTCGTTGCAATAGTTAATGCAAAACTGCTCAAAGCTGTTAGAATCGAAGATCTCAAAGCCATAGATATCGAGCACACCAATGACAGAGTTGTGCCGCGCTTGGGTCTTGCTGCCGCGGAAGAGTATCGCACGATTGATGCGTGAAATGATCCAGGTGAAGAGACGATCGTAGATGGCCTTGGCCAGCGCATCCTTGCCGTACTCTGCCTGTGTGGCATTGTGATCCTTCTGCATGACATTGCCACCAGCGGCAATGACGCGTTTGGTCAGAGCCGTTGCCAGCTCCGATTCGGTGACTTGCAGCAGCTTGGCCGTGGACTGCAGACTCTTTTTGTTGCTGATAACCAGCTCATCCTCAATGGCTATAGGGGGGAACAAATCAATTAGAATTCAATACAAATTATAACATAAACTCACTTTGAAACTCCACATTGCCCAAGTGCAGCACAGCGGCAACTGTGCGCCAAATGGTGTGCACCTCATCCGTGGAGAAGCCCAAAGTCTTGAAGGCATTGCACGTGCCCTTGTAGTCGGATTTCTCTGTCAGTATATCCATGCTGCCTTG